AATATGGACTCAGCTGGCTTCTCAATGTGTGGTGGCAAAGACAAGCTGATTTCCAGAAACCAAGCAGGACTACTAAGGCTATCCCCTGATGTTTATTACACTTAACCCTATGGAGACAGATATATTTTTCTGCGCATGTTACAAGGTTTTACGATCAATGTATGCCAATGAAATGAGAATTAAATTTTACATTATAGTTCAAAGTTTTATATTGTCTAAATTTTAATTCCTTTATTTAAAAAGAAACCTTAAAAAAATTTTTAAACTTTAGTTATTTTGTCACATGATACACAATTTCACAAAGTCTGAAATTCTCATTTCTGTAACTTGAATACTTCTACGTTTTACACCTTACTTCCGTGTATAGATAGAAACTATCTTAATTGCTCTGTTTATACATGCTTCTTTCAAGCTCCTTAGGGCACAGAAGCCACTCCCACTTTCTACACAAGTAGTAGTAGTGATTTCTCAGCCAATTATACTATGATGTTTATAACCAATAGAAGAGCAGATTTCAAAGTACAATTTCCCAAGTAGTAGTGATTTCTCAGCCAATTATACTATGATGTTTATAACCAATAGAAGAGCAGATTTCAAAGTACAATTTCCCAAGTAGTAGTGATTTCTCAGCCAATTATACTATGATGTTTATAACCAGTAGAAGAGCACATTTCAAAATACAATTTCCCAAACACAAACAATTCCATAGAGCGAAACTTCTCTTAGCATTGTTTCCACTTTTATCTTAGCTAGCACTTTAGCATTGTTTCTCACCTAGAAAAATGTTAGTTAGATAGACAAATTGTATTTAGGTTTTCGTTTTATATTTAAATATTTATATTTTATATGTTTTAAAATACATACTTGAAAGGATTAATAATTTTTTAAATATAAATCATCTTCTCCAGCAAGTGTGCCATTCTACTGATGGCTAAACATTTCTCAGCCCATCATATTGTAATAATGGCCGGGGATGCCCATGAACGTGTGTTGCAATGAAAAATAACACTAAAGGACAGGAATGGAAAATAAAACATTAAGAATAAATTATATGGGAAAATGTAAAGACATGCAATTAAGAATATAGCCAGAATAAGATGTTTCAAGATTATTTGCAAAAGTTAAAAGGTATGTACATATTTTTAATTTTATTGATAATAAATAGAGTTAGTGATATGTTAGAGAAAATAAACTATAAACATTTACCTTAAAACAACTTATGCTATTCATTTAGAAGGTGCTAGAAGTTATGCTGAAATTTGAAAACTATAAAATGGAAAATAGTATTTTTATACTTAACATGAAAATCACCTTGCATTAAAACAATTCAGAGTCTGAGTGCAAATAACTACATAAATAAATTTTATTGGAAATACTTGATAAAAATAATCTCATTCATGGTATATATATAATATTTGTTATCTTTAACAAAATCTTGCCAATTTTTATAAAGATATGTTAAGAAAGCTCAAAGTTATCTTAAATATTGTTGAACTGTGTATCATTCTTTATATAAGTTATGCTCATTGGGTATCGCACCATCTCCATAGAGTTAATGTTTCCACTTGAATGTTGCTTCAGAATGGAGGATCTCATCGTACTCTATGGTGTTGTGGGCTAAGGGATCATTTCTGCACAAACTGCATGTATCTTGTCACACAATAAGATTGACAGAGAACACAGCAGAATGTTTGTGCTGAAGGATGTGGTGGTCTTTCAAGGCTTGGTATATGCTTGCAGCAATGAACGTGGAGTTTTTTATTGAGCAGTTGCAAGGACCGTGGTGGTGTTAAAGAGTGTTAATATGTTTTTGTTGTTATTTCATGTATGTATTTTCATTTTAACACATATTTTCCTTCTCATTTCGTGTGACAGCCTAGTGTGTTAGACTGACCCTTCTAAAGGGGGTAAGTGATTTCTATGAAATGTTAGTGCTTTGTTTTTGTGAAGTTGCATTTACTTTTCTATATGTTAGTGTTGTTGGGCAAGTTGTTTTTATGGAACTAAAGTGAGTTATTATGATTTTGTGAGTGATTGATCAGCTTGTATTCTATAAATTCAACATCCACATACATATGATATACCAGTTGTGTGTGACTGACCAGCTTGTATTCTATAAATTCAACATCCACATATGTATGATATACCAGTTGTGTGTGACTGACCAGCTTGTATTCTATAGATTCAACATCCACTACGTATGATATACCAATTGTGGATGACTGACCAGCTTGTATTCTATAAATTCAACATCCACATACATATGGTATGCCAATTGTGTGTGACTGACCAGCTTGTATTCTATAAATTCAACATCCACATACATATGATATACCAGTTGTGTGTGACTGACCAGCTTGTATTCTATAGATTCAACATCAACTACGTATGATATACCAATTGTGTGTGACTGACCAACTTGTATTCTATAAATTCAACATCCACATACATATGATATACCAGTTGTGTGTGACTGACCAGCTTGTATTCTATAGATTCAACATCCACTACGTATGATATACCAATTGTGTGTGACTGACCAACTTGTATTCTATAGATTCAACATCCTCTACGTATGATATACCAATTGTGTGTGACTGACCAACTTGTATTCTATAGATTCAACATCTACTACGTATGATATACCAATTGTGGATGACTGACCAGCTTGTATTCTATAAATTCAACATCCACATACATATGATATACCAATTGTGTGTGACTGACCAGCTTGTATTCTATAAATTCAACATCCACATATGTATGATATACCAATTGTGTGTGACTGACCAGCTTGTATTCTATAAATTCAACATCCACATACATATGATATACCAATTGTGTGTGACTGACCAGCTTGTATTCTATAAATTCAGCATCCACATATGTATGATATACCAATTGTGTGTGACTGACCAGCTTGTATTCTATAAATTCAACATCCATATATGTATGATATACCAATTGTGTGTGACTGACCAGCTTGTATTCTATAAATTCAACAACCACATATGTATGATATACCAATTGTGTGTGACTGACCAGCTTGTATTCTATAAATTCACCATCCACATATGTATGATATACCAATTGTGGATGACTGACCAGCTTGTATTCTATAGATTCAACATCCACATACATATGATATACCAATTGTGGATGACTGACCAACTTGTATTCTATAAATTCAACATCCACATATGTATGATATACCAATTGTGTGTGACTGACCTAACTTGTGTTCTATACATTCTACATCCACATACATATGATATGCCAATTGTGGATGACTGACCAACTTCTATTCTATAGATTCAACATCCACTACGTATGATATACCAATCGTGGATGACTGACCAACTTGTATTCTATAGATTCAACATCCACATATGTATGATATACCAATTGTGGATGACTGACCAACTTGTATTCTATAAATTCAACATCCACATATGTATGATATACCAATTGTGTGTGTGACTGACCAACTTGTATTCTATAGATTCTATATCCACATACGTATGATATACCAATTGTGTGTGACTGACCAACTTGTATTCTATAGATTCTACATCCACATCCATATGATATACCAATTGTGTGTGACTGACCAACTTGTATTCTATAGATTCTACATCCACATACATATGATATGCCAATTGT